CCTACCACGCCGGCACGTTTGCCGGTTTGCTCATCACTGCGCGCGGAGACGATGCAACCGGCTGGTCAAAGGACGGTGGCGGTCGCATCAACGACATCAACGCCGAATCCCTGGCCGAGGAAGCCATCGAAAAAGCGGTGCGAGGAAGCAACCCCCAACCACTGGAAACCGGCGATTATCCGGTGGTGCTGGAACATTACGCCGTTGACGATGTGCTGGAAGCGCTCAGCTCCTACGGCATGGGCGCGCAGATGGTGCAGGACCAACGCAGCTGGATGAACAGCGTTATGGGCGAGCCAGCCATGAGTCCCCTGGTGTCCATCTGGGACGATGGCGTCGACCCCGCCGGCTGGCCCGTGCCTTTTGACGCAGAGGGTGTGCCAAGGCAGCGGGTGGACATCGTAACGGAAGGCATCGTTCGCGGCCCAGTGCATAACAACTACACGGCCTCCAAAGCCGGCCTGGCGTCGACTGGACATCAGCGGGGCGCTACGTGGGCGGGCCGGCTGCCACCAACCTTTTCATGGCGGGTGGCGACCGCAGTACCGAGCAACTCATAGCATCGGTGGAGCGGGGGATCTACGTTACGCGCTTTTACTACACCCGCCTGGCCCACAGCCGAGGGTGCGTTATGACGGGCATGACGCGAGACGGTACGTTCCTGATTGAAAACGGCGAATTGACCACGCCAATCAAGAATCTGCGGTTCACCCAGGGATACGTAGATGCGCTGGCCGGCTGCCTGGGTGTGTCCAACCAACCCCAACTGAACCTGAACGAAGCGGGTGTTGCGGTGCGGGTGCCAGCCGCGTCCCTCGCCAGTTGGCGGTTCACCGGGCAGACGGTCTGAACCGATGCCCGGCAATTCCGTCCAAATCGCTAAACTACCGGGACTAATCCGGCCGGCCGAAAATGGCTACGGAGCAGGTGAAGGAACCGGGCCGTCCACCCAGGTTGTGGGTGATTCCAAGGTCGGCCTTCTGCAGCTGGCGACCGCCTGCCTTGCCCTGAATCTGCTTGTACACCTCATAGATCATGCGGATGCCGCTGGCGCCGATCGGATGTCCAAAGCATTTCAGGCCACCGTCGGTATTTACCGGCAGATCGCCTTCCAGTGAGAACGACCCGTTGGCGACGTCGGCGCTGGCTTGACCTCGGGGACTGAAGCCCAGGTCTTCCATGATGATTAGCTCGGTGATGGTGAAGCAGTCGTGCACCATCGCCATGTCAATTTCAGCGCGCGGCTCGGCAATACCCGCCTCGGAATAGGCGGCCTGGCTGGCGCGCACCGTTTCCGGAAAATGGGTGAAATCCCAGTCGTTTCGGAGCACCCCAAACGCACCCACCGCCAAACCCAGCCCCTTGACCAGGATGTAATCATCCCGCAAAGTTTTGGCAATCTCAGGCGTGGTGATGATTGCAGCGGCAGCGCCGTCGCTGACGCCACAGCAGTCGTACAAACCCAGCGGCCACGCAATCATGGGGGCGTTGATAATCTGGTCTTCGCTGACCTCACGCTGGAAGTGTGCCTTTGAGTTCAACGTGCCGTTGTGATGGTTTTTCGACGCAATCTGGGCCAGCGTCCGTTTCCCATCGTCATAGTCGATGCCGTATTGGTGGAAATAGCGGGTGGCAGCCATGGCGAACTGAGCCGGCGGAGGCGTCGGCGGTTCCACATCTGCCCCGGGCCCGGCGGCGATGGCCAACCCGGAGAAACCACTGTCCTTGAGCTTTTCCACACCCATCGCCAGCACAATGTCGTAGACGCCGGCGGCTACGGCGTAGCAGGCGTTGCGGAAGGCATCGGTGGCGGTGGCGCAGGCGTTTTCGACGCGGGTGATGGGGATGTAGTCCAGTTTCAACGCCTCTGCCAGGGGTTGACCGGTGCGGAAGCTGCTGACGGTGCCCAACCAGGCGGCCTGGATGTCTTCCGACCCCAACCCGGCATCCTCGTAGGCTTCGTAGGCGGCCTCGACCATCAGGTCGCCGGCCGAGGCATCCCAGCGTTCACCGAAGCGGGTGCATCCCATTCCCACCACGGCAACTCGATCTCGTATTCCGGGCATATCTAACTCCTCAGTCAGGCGGCAGCGCCCACGTGGGCCAGCCTTCGTTGGGGTATCGCTTTCCAGTAGTAATTGTGGATACCGTTGACCACACGCAGCTTTCGGAAACTCATCTCGACTGGCAGTCCCACCCGCACTTCGTCAAGGTCTCGGTCGGTCATCATGCACAACACGCGCCCGCCGATGTCAAAATCTACCACCACCACGACCAGCGGAGTGTCGACGGCGCCGGCGATGTGGTCCATCGAGTAGGTAAAGACTTCGCCCGGCCGGTCGCTCAGTCGCACCGCTTCGGAATCATCAACACGGCGGCATTCTACACAGACGCGCTGCGCCGGATACTGCACGTAGCCACAAGCTCGACAACGCCCACCGTACAGGCGCACGTTTTTGTCTCCTTCCCGCCACAACGCCGATACCGACGGCGCAGCGGGCGCCGGTCGGCGCGCTGCGTCGTCGGTCGTCCACACGTCACGCCAGCGGGCGTAGGTTTCGTAACTGCCCAAGATCAGCTTGCTATCAACCCACCCGGCGACACCCATCGTCGGACGTTGTGCTAGGGTGATGGCCGCGGTGGTTCTAAACCCGAGCACGTCGCTGCCGTCCCCGTAGGACACAGCCAGCAGCAATTCGCTCGGGCCGGCGGATTCCAGCGCTGCCGCCAACAACATCGTTGAGAAGGCTGCGCCCGTATTACCCACCATCCCGAACCCGGCCGGCTGCACCTGCTCATCATTGAACCCCAACTGGCGGGCCAGCCGAGAGTGTCGCCGGGCGTCGGGAGCGTACAGGGCAACCTTTGCTCACATCGGCCGGCGCAACGCCGAAGCGGTCGCAGAAACCGGACACGGCTTCCGGCATAATGCGTTCGATCCCCTCTTCGGTCGCGAACCGGTCTTCCCAGGTGCGGACGAAAGCATCGCCGGGCGCGCGCCAGGTGTCCAGCATATTGTCGGTAATGGAATAGCTGCCGACCGATTCCGCAATCACTCCCTCAGCCGCTACGATGAAGGCAACCGCGCCGTCGCCCGACGACCGTTCCGTGTCGCCGCGAGGCGGCCCCTGCCCGGCTATCGGCAGCCACGACCAACACCTCGGTTGCGCTGCCGGCGGCCACGGCGTCCAATGCCGCCTTCAGGGCGCTGGTGCCCGCGCGCAAGACGTCGGTGATGTCCGCCGCGAAAATGTCCCGTCGCAAATCCAGAGCCGCGGCCACGATGGCGGCGCACTGCTTCTCAGCGTAAGGGGGCGTCGTGGTTGCAAAGATGATGCCGTCGATTGCGTTCCGGTCGCGGTCGCCCAGGCAATCGGAACCGGCGGCCACGGCCATCGTCACGCTATCTTCGTCGAAATTGGCGACGGATCGCTCCTGGCGAGAGTTCCAGCCATCGGTGCCCGCTCCCAATCGGAAGCGAGGGATATAGGCGCCGTAAGCAGAGATTCCGACCAATTTAGCCTCTCCGGGTAAGTGCTCACCGTTCGAACGATGCTATCAGCGCGCGCAACTGAGTGTCAACGCGCGCCGATGCCCCGGCGATGCTGTGCCGTGGCCGCACCGATCCGTCGCGCAACCGAGGTGCGCCGTGGTTACAACGGGGAGTGGAGAGTCGCTATGCTACAATGCGCCGATGTTCGCGCGCCCTTTCACCAGCCGGTTGATTCCGATCACGCTGTTGTCGATTGCGGCGCTGGTTTTCGTACTTGCGGCCGGCTGCATTCTCGGAAATGGGGAGCCGACAATACCGGAGGCGGCCCAGGACCTTCCTCCCGAACTCGCTCGCGTCGTGGAGGCGTATCGCATTCTGCTGGATGAGCACGTTGACCACCGAACGCTAACCTCGGAGCAAATGTCCGACGGAGCCATCCGAGGGCTGTTGACGGCGCTGAACGACCCGCACGCGTCCTACCTGAGCGCCGAGCAATACGCCAGCGAGCAGGAAGGTTATCGGGGGTTTTTCGAAGGCATCGGCGCCCAGGTTACGCTCACCGAAGCCGGTCTGACCGTCATCGCGCCCATACCCCGGTGCGCCCGCCGAAGCCGCCGGCATCCTTCCGGGCGACCTGATTCTGGAGGTAGACGGGGAGAACATCGAGGGTCTCACGCTCGTCGAGGCGGTGAACCTGATCCGGGGGCCCGGGCGGAACCGAGGTAATCCTGTTGGTGCACCACGTTGGCAGTAATGAGAACGTCAGTATCACCGTAACCCGTGGACGCATTCCCATTGACAGCGTTGCGTTCAAGATGCTGGGCAACGGGGTCGGGCACCTCTGGGTCTACGGTTTCTCCAACACCACGGAGAACGAAGTGCGCGGGGCGCTCGATGAGTTTGCCGCCGCCAACGGCACTGCACTGGTTCTGGACCTGCGAAACAATCCCGGCGGGCTGCTTCACGTTGTCATCAGTGTGGCAGATCTGTTCCTGGACGGCGGCTCCGTGCTGTATGAAGTTGATGCGGCGGGCAACCGCACCGATTACGATTCCAACCGGCGTGGTCCCGGCGTCGATATACCGATGGTGGTGCTGGTGAACCAGTTTTCAGCCAGCGCCAGCGAAATCCTGGCCGGCGCCATTAAAACCAACGACCGGGCGCTGGTGGTTGGCGCCACGACCTTCGGCAAGGGCAGCGTCAACATCACCCGCCTGCTGTCAGACGGTTCCGCCATCTACTTCTCGATCCGACGCTGGTACCTGCCTGACGGCACCCAAATAGAGGGGCAGGGCGTAACCGAACATAGAAATCGTGTCGGACGTGCTACAGCTGCCCATCGACCTCGCCGACGACCCCGCTTTGCAGGAGGCTATCGTTATCCTGAACAGTCGAGTCATGTCGCAATAACTGGTACGCAATGGCTTGCCGAAATGGCTTACAATAAAGAACAGGTGAACGTACAACGACCCATCGGGAACGAACAGTCCCGATACCCAAGAATCTGATGGCCAGGAAAAACCGCAACAGCAAGAAAAACGCCAAAACCGCGACCAACGGCGATAATCGTCAGGTCGCGGTGAACCGCAAGGCGCTGCACGATTATGAAATCCTGGAGCGCGTTGAGGCCGGCCTGGTGCTGACTGGCACTGAGATAAAATCGATACGCGCCGGCAAAGTCGACCTGCGGGATGCCTACGCGCGGTCACAAAACGGCGAGCTGTGGCTGCACGGCGTCCATATCGCACCGTATGATGCGGCGAGCTACCTTAATCACGAACCACGGCGTCCTCGCAAAGTCCTGCTACACCGTGCCCAAATAAATGACCTGGCGTTGCAGGCTGCCCAGAAAGGATTGACCCTGACTCCATTGCGGATGTATCTGAAAAACCACTACGCAAAAGTGGAATTGGGCTTGGGCCGGGGCAAACGTCAGTACGACAAACGTCGCACCATGATTGAGCGGGAGCGGGAACGGGATGCGCGCCAGGCAGTCAAGCAGTGGCGGGAGTAGCATACTGGCGTAACCTCCGGCCAACTGGAAGCAGGCGCAACCGACCTTGATAGGCCCGGCGCGCTTGGTCGGCCAATGGCTGGGAGTGGCGCTGCTCATTTACCTGCTTATCGTTGCCGTGGCATTGATTGGCCGGGGTTCCGGTGTTGCCGTCGGCGGGCGGGCCGAAGATCTGTTTATCCTGGCGAGCAACCCATTCATGGGCTTGGTGGTCGGTGTCATGGCCACCGCTCTGGTGCAGTCGTCCAGCACTGTTACCTCGATCATCGTCGGGCTGGTCGCCGGCGGTATGCCCGTGGTGATTGCGGTGCCAATCGTAATGGGGGCAAACGTGGGCACCACCATCACCAATACGTTGGTGAGTCTGGGCCACGTCGCGGATGAGGATGGATTCCGGAGGGCCTTCGCCGCCGCCACCGTGCACGATTTCTTCAACCTGCTGAGCATCGCAATCTTCCTGCCGCTGGAATTAATGCTGCACCTCCTGGAACGGTCCGCGTTAATTCTTGGAACGTTTTTGCTGGGCGACGGCGCCTACCAGCAGGATTCCCTGAACTTCGTGGGCGCCGCGACGGAACCGCTTGTCAACTTCATCGCCTGGTCGGTGCGTTTGGTTCCCCGGCCCTACGACGGTATTCTCATGATTGCGTGCGGAGTGGCGCTGATTCTGGTGACCATCACTCTGATCAGTCGCGTGCTTCGACGACTGATGGTCGGGAGGGTCGAAAGGGTGGTGCACGCCAGTTTGAGACGCGGGCCGATGGCCGGCATAGCGGCTGGTACCGCAATAACGGTCGTGGTCCAGTCGTCGTCGACTACCACCAGCCTGATCGTGCCACTGGCTGGAGCCGGCTTGTTCGGGTTGGCGCAGGTGTACCCCTTCACGCTGGGCGCTAATATCGGCACCTGCGTCACGGCATTGCTGGCGGCAACGGCCATCACGGGAGTGCAGGCCCTCCCAGCGCTGCAGATCGCCCTGGTGCAATTGCTGTACAACGTGCTGGGAGTGATTGTCGTGTATGGAGTGCCGTGGCTGCGCCGGGTGCCAGTGGCGACAGCGGAGCGGCTCTCGGCGGCGGTCAGTCGGCGGAAGGCGATGGGCCTGTTCTACGTGCTCGTCGTGTTTTTTGGGATTCCGGGGATATTGTTGGCGGGCTCCGCCCTGTTTTGAGTTTGCGTTCTTTCGCCATCCCGCATCCGGCGGTATAATCGTCAGCCGGGTTGATCCTGCACCCACCGGCCCGGCGCGGCCGGGGTTGCATTATTTTGCGAGGGGTATGTTTTGATTCGGAGCCTGCGGGGGATAACACCCCAAATAGCGCCCACTGCCTGGGTGAGTGAGTTTGCCTACGTGGTGGGCAACATAGTCATTGGGGAGCACAGCAGTGTCTGGCCCGGCGTTACGATTCGAGGCGATGGCGAACTCATTACCATCGGCAACAATGTAAACATCCAGGAAGGCTCGGTGGTCCACGGCGACGGGCTGGTAATTGAAGACAACGTGTCCATCGGCCATTGTGTGGTAGTGCATGGCGATCGCATCGGCACGGGCAGTCTGCTGGGCAATAACTGCACCTTCCTGACCGAGTCTACCATCGGCCGGGAATGCCTGATCGCCGCCAACTCGGTGGTGCTGTCCGGCGTGGACGTTCCTGACCGCAGCTTCGTAACCGGCGTCCCGGGTTTCCATCAAGCGACAGGTTACCGACCAGCAGGTTGAAGGGATGCGCGACACCGCCGAGCACCTGATGGAACGGGCCGAGTGGTTTAAGGAAAGCGGGCTGTAGCTATTGCCGGGGCCGTGAGCACGGGCCCCTTGGCTCAGGCATCGCTTGGTTCAGGCATCGAGGCACGTTTGACTCAAGCGCCGCCTTCGTCGAAGGACACTCACCCTCACCCCAACCCTCTCCCATCGAGGGAGAGGGAGCAGAGCCAGGGCATCATGACACCAGGCGGTTGGCCACTGGGAGCAGGTTTTCGGCCAGGTGGTTCATCACTTCAATGCACGGGCCGATGCCGTCAACCCGGAAATCGAAGGTCAGCTGGTCGATGCCCAGTTCGTTGCAGTAGTGCAAATCGTCGATGACATCCTGGGTGGGAGGCGATTAGCGCTCCGCCGGAACGCACGCCGACGCCCTCTTCGGCTCCGTGCATGTCGGTGAAGTGGAGGCTGCGTTTCAGGGAAATCGTAATGTCTGCTGGATCGCGTCCCGCCAGTTCGGTTTGCTCCCGCAGGTAGGGCAGGTTCTGGGCGACGAAATCCGGGGTTTGACGCGTGGTGTGCCAGCAGTCGCCGTATTTGGCGGTGCGGCGCACGCGCGGCGGGTGTGTCCGCCCACCCAAATCGGTATACGCGGTTGCTGAATGGGCTTGGGCTCGAAATATATGCCGTCAATCTGGTAGTACTTGCCGTTGACTTCCGGCTGCTCCTCAGTCCACAGAGCGTTGAAGATTTGCAGGAATTCGTCGGTCATTGGGCCCCGGTCTGCGTAAGGCACGCCCAGAACATCGAACTCTTTTTCCAGCCAACCTACACCGACCCCGCAGATCATGCGCCGCCAGACAGTACGTCCAGGACGCAAACACTTTGCATGCACCACCGGGTGCGATACGCAGGATGAGCACACGTGCTGCCAGAGTTTCACTGGTGCACGCTGCCATGTAGCCACACAGCAATGTCATCGTTTCAGGACAGGCACGGCTCGTCGGACGGCCGTCTGAACGCGCCGGTTGGGTGGTAGGATCCTGGTTGGTTCCCGCACGGGAGCGATTATCGATGTGGTACGCCGGGCCATCACCGACTCGAACCACCAACTGCTGCATCAGCTGCGCTCCACACTAAATTCGCAGTATGCCGCTGCGTCGGGCAAGCGGGGAAGTACTTACGCTATTTTCATCTGGGAGGCTCACGCGCGGGCCAGATCTGTGCGACAAATGAGCTCATGCACGCAGCCGGCACAGCGTCAGGATTATAGCATAGTCATCGGGCGCGCGTGTTCGAACAAACTCTGTCCAAAACGTCGCCAGCGAAATCCGGTGTCGCTCGCTCGCGTGCCGGGCCTGCTCGCGTGCGAGGAGCCGCTGGCGTGCGCGGCCTGCTCGCGTGCCAGGATTGACTGCGGCAGGCATCGTACACTTTTACGTTATTACATTCCTCTTTAACCCGTTCTCAATCCCCTGATCTTCTTCTCTCCCTCATTTCTCGCTGCGAAAATCGCGTCGCCCTTCGTTGCCTATAACGGATACCAGATTCGATGGTGTCCTGAAGTAATTCCTGTTCCGTCATTCTCCATAGCCCTCAGATGCCCGGACATCCTGTACCAGTTCGGTTTTTTCTCGGGTACCGTCGCGCCTACGAGGATATCTCGGTTTCCATCGTCTCGACTGTTTCGTTTCGTCGGGTACACTTCTCAGGTTACATGCGGCGGTCTGCTGCCGAAGCGATTGAATTTCTCAGTGGTTTTACGAGGTGGTTTGTTGCGTCCGGGCTTACGACGACGATGCGTGACTAAGCCTTCTGCAGCCAATACGGAACCTGCGTAGATTACTGTCCGGTGTGAAGCCGCCGTGTCGGACCCTGGTGCAGACCTTACTATGACGTCAGCCCATTGATTCGGCGCCTTGGCGTTGTCCTACGCTCCAGGACTGCCGCAGACACACTACTATACTGTAACCATTGCCGAATTATCCCCTACCAATTGGACTAAACCGGCTCACCTAAACACGCGGCGCAACAGTCGTGGCTGAAGCTGGTGGCTGACCACTTGTGTTTTAGCCTGGCAAACGCGGTGACAGCAACAATCAAGTCCAACGCCAATCGCGATTGTCAAAGACTCGCACCTCGTCCGGCATGGTCGCTGTGCACCGAACCGCGTCGTCCATCGTCCACCCCTTCCCCAGCGGGCGGTCGGGCGATAGATGTCGTGCTGGCCTGCGTTCTTGGGCATTCGGATGCTTTCTTCTTACCCATTCCCGGATAACATGGAGCTTGGCGGCACAGAAACGCCCGGTATCACGAGCTCATCGTCCAGTACCCGGAAGGTCGGCTCCATTCCGGGATGATTGCTAATTCATACGCCGGCGGGCGGTATGCAGCCTAATCCAGACTTCCTGATATCACTGCTCGCTAGACAACACCAGTCTTTAGTACTTGCTCTTAAACCAGCATCTCTCTGTACTTTACCATGTCTTCTAACCCTCTACGTCTGTTCCTTCCCTTCTACATATTCTCCTTCCCTCCCCTTCCTTCCTACTCCTTATGTCATCCCTTCTCCCTAGTTACTTTCTTCTCCCTTTCCCTTCCCTCCCGGACCCCGTGTTGCCCCACTATTTACAGTGCCCTTCCTTTCTCCTCCCCCCCTGTCTTTCAACCTCCGGCGTTGCAAGCGGTGCCGGAACCACGCTGCCCGCAACACGCACTCTCCGCCAACCGGTCTGCAGAGTGCTCAACCCGGGGTGGCAGTCTTTCCCCGGCGCACATCCGATTTCGAGAGCCTTTGCCTTCCACGTGGCGTCGTGTTGTCCGTGCCGACGATGGCATGGGCAATTTTCGTGCAGGACGGTGAGTCTTAAACCTATCTCGGCGTCGGAGTCGCGTGCAAGCATAACTGGGACGTCAACTGATGCGCGTCGTGTAAGTGACCAACGCCGCGCGCGTTGGATCCAAGGTCGAAACGCGAACTGCCACGCCGGCTAAGGCCGCTACTGGCGCGGTGGGTGGTCGAGCAAAACGATTGGCAACGTTTCCACCTTCTACAGGCGGACATTTCCGTCTGTGGCTGGGTACTCCACGTGTCCTCAAGCGGAATGAGTGACTGCGTACCGCCCGCTCCTGGTCGACGAACAACTTCGGCTTTCCTGACCCGCAGGCCTGGGGCGGCTACAGTTTCGGTCTTTCCACCGAGCCATCACTCCACACTCCCCTGAAATCGGATGCGGCTGCCAACCGGAAATTCGGCCCCTGGAAACTGTTGCGGATATTTCAGTGCGGCGTGATGGCATTCCGGTTCCTGCAAACGGCGCTTAGACGTCAAATAGCCCGCCGGGCCCGTTGCTGCGGCCATATGCCGGGGTTGCCGGGCATCTCGCAAATTCCCGAAAAACTACCGCATGGTCGCATTCTCTTGGCTTGATACTTGCTAGTACGTGCTAGTTGCTAGATTCCGCCAAAGCTGATACGAAGCTGTCGTTGACTGGTTCGTTGGCACCTAATCCATCTTCCACAAACAGGAAGGACAAAATGGAAAATGGAGTAAACCGTCATCAATGTACGACAGGTAAGAAGACGTAACCCGTCATACCCGCAGAGAAATCATGCCCGCACCAGGGTTTGATGGTGCCAGAAGTTGTCTCTTTACGCCAGATACTGAAATCCCTGCTCTCGAACTGCTTCGACCAGGCCCGCATACCACTATGGCCCTGAGAACATGAACATCCGGGCTCCTCATGGACAAGACAACTGTCGGCCCCCGTTGGGTTGGACGTTGAGCAACATCCGCCAACCAAACCTGGCAGCCATGGTTCGCCGCTCCGGGTTACGATGTACCTGGGCCAGCGAAATCCAGGCCAAACCCCGGTCGACACCAGATCAGATTGGACTAAGTGGAGGGCGGGGGTGCGCCCCTGTCCAAGTCTCGCGACGAGCGCCGCACAGTAACCATTTCCCCTTCCGCGGCGACCCAACAAGCACTTTTCTAGGCTGCAACATCGCGCTCGGTGTGGAAGACCGGACACAAACATCGGCGCGGGGGCCAACGGACCGCGCGCGTCGCGATCCACGTCCTGCCGACCACTTGGGCCCAGAAGTTCGAGCTCTGGGCTTTTTTCGAGAACTGCTTCGAGATCGCACCCCCACTACCACTGCGGCCGCGCAATCAGGACGTTCGTGTGTATGGACAACCACCAACCGCGGTCACAAACCCTTGCGTGGACGCTGCGATCATTTCAATGGCTGGGCCAAACCTGCCAACTGAATTGACCGGGCCGGCTACCCACCGTAAAGCCTCCGGGTCGAAACCATCTGGATACAGGCTATCCTCCCCACCATCGAGGAGAATGCCTTGGCCTTGGGTAGGCACCATCCAAAGGTAACCGTCAACAGACATACCGTGGTTACGGCAGTGGTGGCGCAGATTTGCCGCCCCCACGTTCTTTGTCCTACTTCGGGGACGATTGTTTCATTTTGGGTCCGCGCAGCGCGGTTACAAACATCATCGTATAGCCGCCGGACCCAACTCAAGGTCCTGTCCCGTGATGAAACTGGCCGCGTCCGATGCCGGAGACCCCGGCGTTGGCCACGCTATGCCCTTTTGTTGGTGTTCTGTTTTACCCTTCTCCCTTTTGTCTCTTCTCTTTAGCTTTTCAGTTTGTTGCCCACCTCCATCCTGTTTCATTTCTCTGTGGCCGCAACGGGTAGGCGCGCCCACGCGCTCCAGGACAAATCCTCGGTGGACGATATCCTGCATACCCCACCCTGGCTCCACATACTTTTCGGAGCTGGGTTACCTCACTTGGGGTGGCCAACACACATGAACCCGGGGCAGACCATGTTAAGCTCATTTCCGTAGCGTCCGGTGCGCGGGCGACTGCCTATGCTCCTCGCGATCACTCCAACTCCCAGCTTGCAAGCGGAGTAGGAAACGGCCTCGCGATACTCTCCCACTCCGCCCTGCACGCTGCTGATCGACAATCGACCCCGGATTCCCGTTCAATCATATGTCG